GAACCGTACGCAGATGTTCGGTCGACGAAACGAAGACCATAAGCATACACATATGACGATGATGCTTTGCTAACGAAACCTGAAGGAGTTACGGGACATCTGCTGGCTTCGTGTTTGTAGATATATACTCATGGAATGGTGGTACTTCTCGGAATGGAATTATGAGAAGAGGATAAGCATACTCGTTCAAGTACTTTAACGAGCGGGTACATCATTAAGTATATAATTTAAAAGATCTACGGTAAAAAAAGGGGGGAGGTGGTGAGGGAGTTAAACAAAAATATATCACAGTTTTTATTCATGGAAAATTTCATTAAATTTTCATGATAATCTATTTCTTTTTTTTATATTTTCTACATATATATATATATATATATTATTTTCATTTTTTATAGATAGAAAATAATTGTAATAAAAAAAAAAATAGATCCGCGATCTCTTTGAAAATACGGAGCTATATATGTGCGAAAAGGTTTTCGTTGAAATGTCACTTGAATCCGTATAGAAAGAGAATGTAATAAAGATAAAAATAAAAAAGAAATAAATCGTAAAATTGCTTTTTTCCAGGTTTTAGATTTAATTCGTTATCACGTATGTTATATAAAATATTTTGAAATATTATTACATTTCTATAATATTATATAGAAAATATTATATATAGAATCTGCAATATGTATATAATATCGTAATATCATAGGAAAACAAAATTATAAATTTCATTGGAGTTAAATTTTTGGAAAAAAGTTGTACAAAAATAAAATAAAACTCAAATGTAAATTAGAGTACGTTACTTTAATAAATTGCATTAATTTAAAAAAAAAAAAAAAGAACTAGAAAGAATAATATTATAAGATTATAAAATTTAACAAGAATATATTTGTAGTCAAATAAAATTCATATAAAATAAAATCAAATATTTTGTCGAAAGTTTCCAAAAATATAATTTAAATTTTCCATGATCAACAAAAATCTATATCTATATATATATATATATATATATTCTACAAAAGTTTATTTTAAAGAAAGCATTTAATAATTGAAAATATACTATTGACTGTATAAAATATATAAAGATAATTGTATGAAGATATATAATAAGAAGAATTAATAAAGTACATTTAATCATAGCTCATTCAACAAAGTAAATCTCTCTTTTGCAATCTAGTATGATTACACATAACGCGTTGATCTCGTCGTCGAGTAAACGACGACGACAAAAACGACGACGACGACGACGAAAATTGACGATATGTAGAAAACGCTTCGACGATTTACTTCAAGTAACTCGCATCAAGATCGTTATCAGTGTAGAGCTCAGACATGCCAAGAGAGAAATTTTACAGTCGTTTCAAGATGAATTGAAGTCAATTGCTAAACTTACTTTACTTATTCTCATTTTCACTCTCCTTTGCTAAAGCTATTTGCCATATTTTCTTTTCCTTTTTTCTTTCTCTCTTCTAGCTTTCCCACTTTTTATTTTTATTGCATTCTTTATACGCCTCAAGATGTTATAATTTTCCAATTAATTAGGTAATTAATAGTGACAACGAAACTACGAGATTGCATGTCGTTCTTTACTCTTTGACACGAAAATAAAACAAATAAAATTCAAATGAAGTGTTAAAGAACCTTTAAAAAAAGAAAGAAAAAGTAACAAAATATTATTACTCAACTAAGACATGACATTTTTGGAAAATACAGAAAAAAAGGAAGAAAAAGATTGAAGGAAATGGCAGAGAGTAAAGAAAAATTGGTCGATTCTGCATGCCCTTACTAAGCCATACATACACACACATACACACAGATACTGGTTAACTTTTTCTTTGAAAATGAAGAAGTAGAAGTAGAAGAAGAAGAAGAAGAAGAAGAAGAAGAAGAAGAAGAAAAGGGGAGAATAAGGAGAGAAGAAGGAGAGGATGGGATACAGGGGGACAGGGACGGGTAGAGGGTTATGAAGGGACAAGGGAGAGGAAGGAAAGACCGATGACTGGCAAGCGGCTAGGCGGCAGGGCCCTGAACCTTGGTGTATAAGGTATGTACTGGTCCAGAGAGCGCCCTTGTCTCCGGTCCGTCAGTTTTTTCATCGTCTGCTCCTGGGTTGCCGCTTTAAACCGATCGTCACGGGTACCGGCGCTTTTACGCGCTTCTCTTTCTTTCTATATATATATTTTATTATTTAATAGAGATCTATCTTATCTTTTAATCCATACATTTTATTATTCTTTTTTTTATTCAACGAATATTGGAGATTTTATTCGACATTATACGTATTTCTTGAAATATCAATTGTATACGTATTGTTAATAATGTGATTTCAATATATGGATGCTGTTAATAATGTAATTTAGGTATAAAAATATTATTTATTTTATATAGTATATTTTAGAAGTATATTTTAGTAAAAAAAAGTCCTAATACAATTATTTTTCATTTATTTAGATATTTAAATATCTATAATTAAGATATTATTAATATTTATTTATTCGATAGATATTAGATAGATATTTATAAAGAAGAAAATCAAAAGTATATTTAAGAAAATTTTGGATAAATTAATTACTCGAAATAAATATTAGAAAAATTAATAACACAAACGTGGTCTCTTTAGTAGATATTTCTTTCTCTCTTTCTCTTTAATCTTTGCAGGTGTGCCTGCAAGGATGAAGGTATCTTCGATTCATTATTCGTCATCATCGTTTTACATAGAAACGAAAGTAAGTTTATGTTTTTCTTTATTTGTTTTAATTGTTTTTATCACACATCAAACAATTCGATTAATTAACAATTAAATTTCTCATATGAATAAGTAATAAGAAAAGATCATGTTTTCAAAATGTTATTACTTTTTTTCTCTAAATTATTCACACAAGTCCGTTTGTTTATTAGTTGTTTATTACTCAACTTCCTGTCTTACGATGAATATGCATGACTTCATCATCCATTTTCCTTACCTCCTCCTCACTTCATTTTACTATGACTATGTTAACAAACATAACATATTTTTCATTAGATTTTCAAATAATTCATGAATTGAATTAAATTGTTATTTAAAAAGAGAAAGAAAAGTGTGTTAAAATACTTAAAAACATTTGAAACACCCTGTTGTGTCAATCCAAAATATAATATATTAAAGAAACTTTAATCAGATAACTATGTTTATTTTGATTCGAAAAATGAATAAAAAAAATTGAAACAAAGTAAAAAAAAAAAATGAAAACTGTTCACCCAACGATAAGCGAAAATCGTTAAAATGATTAGAAAATGTGATGATAATTAACGTGTATTATTTTAAATCGTACGTGTGTTTAAAAATATAATAAAACGGATGAAATTTCAAATCTAATATGTTTATAATAAATAAAACTAGCGCGAGTTACACGTTATTGTTAGTCATTATCAATTCCTATCTCTAATTTTGATCTTTTACCTCCATTTTTTTTCCCCGATTGTGAGATAGAATGGCAATAAGATCGTTTTATATCGGCTTCGATTATATCGATGCAAATCGAGAGAATAATATAGTGTATTCCATTCGATAAGAAACTGAGGATATATATTTCTTCTCAGCGAGTAGTTCTTTCTGCAAATGATTTCGATCTCCTTTAACGAACGCGTACGTTTTCTTAATTGCAAGTTGATCGTTTATTTCTTCAAGAGAGAAAGAGAGAGAGAAACTCTATCTTTATCATTCTTTTACTTTTTACATTAACTTGAAATAATGAAACATTCATATCGCGTTCTTATTGTATTATGTTAACTCCTTGTAGGAATCCAAATGAATTTTTATATAAACATGCGTATATGGGAGCTTGTTATGATATATAGTAATATTTTTATATTATAATATTAGATATATAATACCTATATAATATTATATAATATATAATATACTTATATAATATTCTCCCCTAAATATATTATATAAAAAAAATGTTATCACTTTAAAATAAAATCAAAGTTACAAAATACAACTAACTACTCAGAAGTAAGTAGCTATAAACTTAAATGGTCTACATTACAAAAGGGTTAATTATAACAACAAAAACGATATAAACGAGCAAAAAAATATAAAAAAAAGACCAAAAGAATCGGAAAAGGATTTTGTTGTTTTTTCTTTTTTTTTTGATGAATGTCCTCGAACGTAAAGATTTTTTCATACTTTTTGTCATTTTCTTTTTCTTTTTTAAGGATCGTTACTTGCACGATGGCTGATGTCACACGTGCATATGTATGTATGTATGTACCTATATATATATATATATATATATATATATATGTGAGAAAGAGAGGAAAAGAGAGAGAAGGGAGTATCATTGCCCTCGCCAATTTATTCGCCGTTTTTTCAACGTCTGCCGTCTACAAAACGGCCGTCACGGATATCACGCTCATACGCCTGTTCTTTTCCCCTCAGCGAGTGTCCGCGTCTTCTCGACCGTGATATTATTGTTATGGAGAATCTCGCGTAATATCCGAGGCAGGGGATAAAAAGGTGCGAGATTACGTGTGTCCTTCTATGAGGACCGACCATTCGTCAAAAACCTATTTTCCTATTCCATTGACCAGCAAATTTCTTAGCTTTAGAATTATTTATCTTCGCTGATTTTTCATTTTTTTTTTCGTTAATTCATATTATGTGCACGTATACCCGTTTAGAGATTATATATATATATATATATATATATATATATATATATAT